GCATATTAAAGACCACTTTTACGAGATTTATTCACTTTAAAAACAAGCTGGAATCGTTCAAAAAAGTCAACTGGAGACGGCGAAGGAGTACGGTTACTAAAATCTGGGTTCAGCCTTTGTTCTTATTCCCAAACTTTAACATTATGAAATAAACACGGTCAATACACAAAGATATTAAGGACAAACAAGAGTGTATATTTTCCGTCCAACAGGATATTTTTTGGGGCTATTGTGGCTTCAAACGTCCCCAAAAATCTGCCAGCAACGGTTTATTTCAGCTTATAAAGTCGTCAGCGGCTAGAAATGAGCTGCTTCAGTCTTCCTCTGTCTTCAGTCGAGAGCATGTTTAATAAAACAAGTTAACAATGGGAAATCTGCCGCCTTTATCGTTGTAAATAGCAACAGTAACTAAGGGGGCGGGGCTTAACAAACTGTCACCAGCAATAATCTGAAGAACCAATCAAATCCGTCTCCACGGTCTCCTTTTCAAAATAAAAGCTTATATGCACATGTTAAGAAAAGCACCTTTAAGTTTGTAGATAGTAAAAACTGAATTAATTTTTTTTACTTTAAGCTTTGTTCTCTGTGTGATGTTTTTTTTTTTTGCAAGAAAATGTACGAACTTAAAATCATTAATTTATTATAAAATAAGTTTGATCTGCTTGAAAACAAATACGAACAGTGTCCAGACTCATTTAGTTCAACGTCCCTTTCAAAGTACATAAAACTGTATTTTAGTGTAATAGTTGGAACATATCAACTGATTAATTAACAGCAGCTGTATTTTATACGTTTTTTGGATGGCCAGACATTTTAAAAGAAACAGTTTTAGTTCGTACAATCCCTGCCACTGCCATCGCCTTGAATAAATGCTTGCATCCACTCAGTCTGATTGTGTGGGATTCATTTTTATTAAAGGCTTTCAGTTGGTTAGAAGTTGTTTCTTGTCTTTACTCAGGTGCAGTTGACTCTTTGTATTGACTGCCCTCCAGTGGCCACAGAGACAACAGTGTTATTATCAGTATAATCATTATTAATAACAATATATACAATATGTTATTTGTTATATCATTAATGAGATATAACAAATAAGACTAGTTGCATCAGTGTTGGTAATAATCATACTTTCATACATTCACAACACTAAAAAGCTGCTTAAATTAAAATTTTCTGCTTAAATCAAGTGTCAAGGTAGAGGTAATACTTCCTGTTAATACTTTCAAAATAAATAGTGAATGCAAACAAATCTACAGATGTCTGTTTCTCCAAAGATGCTATAAAAAAAAATAATAATAATGATAATAATAATAATAATAATAATAAGGAAATCAAGGACTCTTGTTACTGTTATTTTGGAATTTTTCCAGATTCGTTGTAACATTTCTGTTTAATTTTTATTACTATATAAATAAACGTGCTGTTTTATAATGTCTGCAGTTCAGACATTTTAATTGACTTTTTAATTTAATAGATGAATATATATCAAATAAAAACACTGCAACAACATTAAAGTTGATCCCAATTAGTATCTGTATTGTTAATAATAGTAATAGGAACATTTTAACATTAATATATTAATACATGTACGTAAACTGCAAATAAAAACGTCTTTTATTGTTTTCATTTACTATTTATTTCTGTTAATATTGTTTGTAATTGCACAGTTTTACATTTAAAGGGAAAATAATGAATTAATAATAATAAAACAGCATCAATGTCCTGAGCAGCGGTGGGTAGCTACTGGAAAAACTTGAAAAAACTGCACCTGAATTTCAGCCAATAACCCCGAAACAATAAAACACTTACCTACACATTATAAATTATATATTTACAGTTTAAAATACAGACTGTGCTTTAAAATAACATCCATCCATAACTCCTGCACACTGTATAGAGACATGAATACATGCATACGGTACATAACCACCCACTCCATTTACAGAACACTTTGATTGTGTTGACGCTGACTGTTCATTTTATCTGTGCTCAGCTTTGTTGTCCTTGTTTTTAATTTGTTAACTTGTTCTAATCTAATGTCTTCTTGTGTTTTGTGTGTAAGAACACTGAGAGTCACATTCCTCGTTTGTTTAGATACACTTGATCAATCAATCAATCAATACAGGCTCATCTTGTTTTATCTGATCTTATCTTATTGGAGGATTCAAGGTTATTTTATTGTCATTTACAACATGCAGGGTTGTAACATTAATATTAGATATAGTTTCCTGTGTGCTACTTGGAAAACAAAATTGACTAATAAGTAATAAAAGGTAATGTGAAGTAATGCTTATCTTATATTATCTTATAAGTTATATTGTTCACTTGGTGTAATATCCTTCTTGTATGTCTTATTTTGTTTCTTTAAAACAGAAACAGAAAAAAAACCTTTATTATTATTTCATTCATTTATTTTTAGTTGTTTATTGATCACATTTCAAATGTACAAATACAAACACTGTGCAAGTATTTCAATCCTTTTAACCCAAAAATATAAACCAACAATAAACAACAATACATATAAAATATAAGATTACAAAGTAAAAGACATGGTAATAAAACAAAAACACACGCATCACATTATGGGGACATGTAAAATTAAACATACATATAGTATATAACTGTATATAACGTAATAATTTACAGTCAAAGAGGGAGAACAATAACTGCTGTAGTTTTATTTTTGTAGGTTTTGGCCGGATGTTGTCACGCGAGCTGACGTATCCATGACGACAGCAGAGCTCGAGCTCGTTTGACAGATGTTCGCCGAGGTTCAACGGCTCCGGAGCTCCGGAGGAGGAGAGCGGGTAGTGAGTGGAACGTTAGCCGAAAGAGGAGAGCGGAGAGCGGGCAGTGAGCGGGACATTCACCGGTGGAGGAGAGCGGTCGGTGAGCGGGTTGTAAGCCGGAGGAGGAGAGCGGAGAGCGGGCAGTTAACGGATCATTCACCGGTGGAGGAGACTGAAACATGTCGGGGGAAAAAGCGTCGAGTCCGTGTAACAAATTTCAAGCCAACATCTTTAATAAAAGTAAATGTCAGAACTGCTTCAAGTCCCGAGAACTGCATCTGCTGAACGACCACAACATGGAGCAGGTAGGACTGCACTTAATGACACAGTTTATTCATTTAATGTAGTTTTACACATTAATTACCTCTGGAAAATACTGTTTCTTTGTGTTTTTGTTTATTTATTTTACCTTTTAAGTAAAAACAAATGCATAAATGAAGCATTAATGTTGAATTTATACAAATAAAATATGTGAGAAAACAGCATTATAATGAAGTACTGTATAATAATAGTTTTTATTTATTATTTTTGGTGTAAAAATGATAATATGAACATAATCGTCAATCACAATATGATGTTTTTAACTGTTAACTGATTATAATCCAGCGGTTCCCAACCTGAGGGTCGGGACCACACTAGGGGTCGCCACAGCTTCACAGGGGGTCGCCAGCGCCTTCTTGATTTAAAGGCGGGCTAGAAACAAAACCTTAATCTCAACATTTCATTTATTATATTATTATTCCTGTGAAGAAAAACTAAATAAAACTTAAAAATTACATCGGAAATTTTAAGGAAAACAGACTCAATTGTTAAAAAACATCCTTTAAGTCAAGTAACTTTAGTAGTTTTCAGTGACTTAATTTTGAAGCTGTATTAGAACAATATATATAGAAATATAAAACATATCTATTATATAATCTGTACGATTGTTAAAAAAAAACATAATAAAGACAGAAAATTGTGTAAAAAGTTGCGAAAAATATCAGAAAAACAGCAAATAATCTAAAATAAAGTTAAATTCATCAAAATCTCTGTTTCACATAAAGTTCCTGCAGTTATTGTGTTCACTGTGTGGGTTCATCGTAGTTTATCAGCTGTTCTGTGCGAATATAATCAATATATGGTCATAGATAAGAAAAACTGAGCTCATCCATCAATATCAGTACAAATCAATAATTGTGGTCAATTTAGAGACGTTACACATATTATTAGCAGGGTCAGCCAGCGGGTCAGGGTTACGTGTATTTGTAGTTTTGTTGAAATGATTATTACATAAATATATGATGGTTTTAATTAGATTTCACCGTCTTTAATTATTTACACTGTCTCCTTGTTTCAGTTGTTAATGGTGGAAACGTAAAGAAATATCTTCAGTTAACTCCTGATACAAATATGTGAAGATTGAATAAATTAAATCGAGGTATCGAGGCGCACAGACTTATGAAATATGGTTTGTTTTGCACAGTTTATACCTCTTCTGTTTTGATAAAGAAAATATATTTTGTAGATTTTTTTGTCTGAGAAAGTCAGAATCTGTCTTCAATCTCTAAACAAATTTTGTGAGTTGAGACAATGGTTACATCCAGTAAAAATAGTGTAAATATAGTGTAAAATAGTGTAAATATATTGTAAATATAGTGTAAATATAGTGTAAAATAGTGTAAATATATTGTAAATTAGTGTAAATATAGTGTATAAAAATAGGTTGTAAATATAGGGTAAATAGTGGTAAATATAATGTAAATATGTAAATATAGGCTGCTAAAATAGTTGTAAATCTATAATTGGTAGCATATAGTGGTAAATAGTGTAAATATTAGTGTAAACTATATTGTAATATAGTGTATAAATAGTGTAAAATATAATGTAAATAGTGTACAATATAGTGCTAAATATATTATTTGTTTAAAGTAATAGTGTAAATATCAGGTTAAATATAATTTAATATATTGCTAAATAGTGTAAATTATAGGGTAATATATTGTAAATATATTTAAATAGTGTAAATATAATGTAAATAGTTAAAATATAGTGTAAATATATTGCTAAATAGGTGTAAATATAGGGTGAATATAATGTAAATATATTGTAAATATGTGTATTAAATATTTAGTGCTAAATATAATGTAACATATATTGTAAAATAGTGGTAAATAGTGTAAATATAGTGTAAATAGTGTAAAATAGTGTAAATATAGTGTTAATATGGGACAGTGTAATAAATATAGTGGCGTGTTTTCATGTAAAGTGACATAAAATGGAAATACTTAAGTAAAATAAAACCTTTCTGACCGTCTGCTGGTTTCAGTTGAGTCCAAAGACACCTGATATATATTTAATTATATTAAAGTGAAGAATATATTTGCTCTTTACTGGATATCAGACAATAATGAATCAGTTATTGAGTCGATCTCTCCGTCCGCACGCTGTTGAACCTTTCAGCAGAACATTTGTTCCTGCGCGTCCGTCTGTCACGAGGGAGGTGATGTAAGGGGACGACCGCGACAGCTTCCTACATGCCTCACATTGTTAAAATATGTTATTTGCTCTGAGTCCTGTAATTTCACTGCTGTTGCTCAACCTGAGAGCTCGCAGTCACCTGGGCTCACAGAGGAACGGCGGAGGGGCTTCTTCAGCTCCAAATGTGTTTTTAATAGCGTTAATAACTGCACACTGTTTTCATGTTTCTGCGTCGACATCAGGGAGCAAAAATAAAAGCTGCGTTTATTCTCGTTCTTATTGTCTCGAGTTTTGTGTTGTTATTTCACGAGCACAGAGCGCCAACAACCCAAAACAATCTCCCTTTGTAGACGCTTTTTTGTTGAACGGTAGCAGCTTACTTCAAAATAAAAGTCAAGTCGTGTTGCTGTAGTTAAATGCTTTTAATGTGGAGGTGCAACATCTGGATCGCCCGTGGCGTTTGGCTGCTAGTTTAGGAAGCGTGTGAGTGTCCTAAAACCCGAGCACGCTTTATAAACGACAATAGACGATCGCGTTCGTTTAATTGTGGGAAACCAAAATCACGATTGCGATTAATATTCGATTAACTGTGCAGCGCCATGATGTTCGCCAAAAACACGAATAAATTAATTAATTAAAGCAAATAAACCCGAAAAAGATAAAAGTTTGGTGATTTTGATGAGTTTCGAAGAGCAAATGAATCGGTTTACGGCATTTTTGAATCATTTTACACACATTTCCAGCAGTTTTTGTTATTGTTAT